AAATGTAGGTTTTAACTTTTAATGCGTTATTGCATTAACAACAAATAAAAACATTGTACATAATGATATAGTAAAACAAATATTGATATATTTTTTTTTTTAAACTGCTATTTCATCGTTATTGTTATTTTATTTGGCATGTAATATTTTTTATTAATTTAATATTCCTAAACAAAATATTTTTCTGAAAATTTCAATGTACAAAAATCAAATCTTAAACGAGTTATAAAATTATAAGTTTATAACCTACAAGTATGGGATATTTAAATTATTGATAATCAGAATTGTTGAATTAGTAATACTAGAAAAATATTGATCTACGGCTAGTGTGTTCATCCAAACTTTAAAACCTATACTACCTTTATATAACTAATTAATTGCTTATTCAAAAGTCAATTGTTTTATACAATAGGTATAAGCCATTAGGTATCAAGTATTTGTCGAAAATAAAATCAATTTATAACTTTTATAAGTATTGACCTTATATTCATTTATACGTCATACTAGTAACTAGTATGTTAGTAATTACGAATATTATTTAAGATAACTAATTATCAATTTAGTAGTTAAATACTTATGGTTATTTAATTATAACTATATACAATTATTACATTTAATTGATAATTATTTTTATTTTTAGGTCGTTAGGTTTTTTAGTTTAATCTTATCAATAATATTTATATAAAAAACCGTACATCCTAAAGATATCAGTTGTCTTGTGTGACCCCCTTGGATATCTAAAAATCTTTAATCTCGGTTTAAAACTATTTTTAATGACGTATATGCTGATTTAATTTGAATATTATTATACATATATGTTAGATTTGTTAATAAATTATAATAAATAAAATTAGTGTGATAGAGTAAACCCAAAAAATAACAAAATATTATTTTTAAGATAAAATTGTAAATATCTACTTAATGAATTTCTTAAAAAAATACATAGTTTTAAATTAAAATGTATGGTAGATATCAGAGATTATTTTACATTAATTACAATTTGTAATTAATTATTATATAGTCACATAGTGACTATAAACAGGGACATCATTATGCCAAGATATGGTAATTGATATACATTGAATATCCGGCCTATATTTTTAAATTTTTTAAGATAAAACAAAAATATAAAATTATTTATTAAATATAAATATATCTAAATAAATAAAGATCAATTTCAATGGTTAAAAGTGTATTGTTTTAGATTCAATATCAAGGTAAATATAATTGTAATATAAAATTGCGTACTTACAATATTTTATCCTCGACCTTCAAAATTATTGTTATAGATCAATCCAACTAGAACTTTGCATCACGAATCACTAGAAAACATGGTTATAAAAACAATTTATTGTGCTATATAAAACGGTAAAATAAAACTACAAATAACAAACTAAAAACGATACAAAAAACTCGCGAATATTGCTTCGTTAAAACAACAAACTAAAGAGTTTTGTTATAACTTATAAAATGAAAACGATTTTGTCACAAGAAAATGAATAAGAAAATTTGTCCGCGGATTCCCATCTAGAACTGGCAATGGACCAGAAGGGACCACATGGCGGTCACTGAGGGACAAAATTAGAGTAGGAAAATATGTTTGGACAACCTCTTGAAGCCATAAATTTCGTTATACAGAGCTGCATAAAAGCTCAAAACGTATAGTAAATCACAAAAAAATAGATCTAATTTTACCTTGTCAAGTATAAACGAACAATATTGACATACCTAGGTATTCCATACTTTTAATGGATTGTATGCATTTCATAATATTACGTAAAATGCCATTGTTTTGACTACAGTTTTATTAAATGTTGACCACTGTTGTCAATTTAAATGCTCTGTATACGTCGTGCGTGTCGGCCTGAAATTGTAATTGACAACAGAAACCCCACATTATTAGATTGCAATGATTACCTCATTTGTCATTGTGGTGGTTAAAACTAAATTGTCAATGAAAATAAACACGATAAATTTGAGAGGATGATGTATATTGAAAATATCTAGTGAAAAGTGTAAGTACGTCATTTAAGATATAAAATTAATTTTATACACAAAGAAAAGTACATTATTAAGTATACATATATATTACATATACATTATACACGTTTTTGTTAAACTCGCTATGTGATCGTCTAATCGTTAAAACATTAATACTTTTATTAACAATGTTGAATGTATTAATAATCTGCGCAGATATCTTGCTTTTAAAAAATGAATGTATTAGTTCCAAGAACGAATAGGACGTCTATTTTGCGCAATAGTTACCTATCAATAAGTACAAAATAGCGAATGGCGCCTACTTAATTTATGAGTAGGGTGGAAACGATTTTTACGTAGTATTTTTAGTCACCTTGTATTTAACGTGATCTTACGGTCAATAATTTTTTGGCTAAGAACAAATATCTATTTTTAAAATTCTATGTTCTACCTCTACTGTACCCACGAAATTCTATAAGTTTACTATACATTTTGAAGTTATACTTTATTTTTATTTAAAACAAATTGTAAAGTCAATGATAATATGAAAGCATTTTTTTAATCCCAACTTACAATAAAATGTTCATGTCGAGTACACATTATATACGTCATAACACAGGACAATAATGGTTATCTATATAGCCTTATAGATAGATAAACAGAAAATAATAAACATAAAATTAATGATAAATACCTTACAATTTTGACGTAAGCGGAAAAATGTTAGTATTTGAACATGTATTTTAAATGTCAACACTCAACACTAATATCAACAATGTGCCAAATATTAAATAGGTATCTACTTACTAATATTTCAAAAACATAAAGGATAACTTTATAAAAACCAAGGAAAATATAAAAATCCCCTTCGTTATAGTAAAACTAATTAATTCATCACTACTCTCAAAACCTAAAATCAATAATTAATCTTTGTTTATACTTAAGTTAGGTAAAATAATATAGATTATAACTTATAAATATTTTTAATCGTAGTTCCTTATGATTTTATAATATTTAAATAGGTAATTACTAATTATTGTACCTACCTATACCTAAGGTTATATTTGTTGCCAAGCATATTATTACTTATTTCATATTTGTATAATATTATGAGCTATTATGTAAAATAATAAACATGTTAATTTGGTAATACGTTCTTAAAAACACAATACGTGAAATACGTTACATTAAATTACCTTTATTTATTACAAAATACAAATAGCTAATAATTATACTTCCGGTTTAAGATCTAATAGACATTAAAATACATTTACTTACCCATACTATAAAACGTATTACTGTTGATAAATATGACAATGTCGTAGACGAAACTTATTTTAAAAACATACATAAGTAGGTACCTACCTCCTAATAGAATTCTTTAAAATTTCACAACCGTACCTACAATACTTTGTAAGGTTATAGCTAAGACTGCCAAAGTACCTTTTTTTCATAATAGGTACCCACCTATATTAATATCAACATTTAAACAACAAAAAATGTTTAATTAATTTTTCCAAACAAGAATTATATCAATTGGTAATTTTATAATTGCCTATAGGCTATAGTTAATACAAATTTATAGGTTATAGACTTATAGTTTTAGAAAAATTGATACCAACGTTACAAACTTTAGTTTGTTACTATTTACAACTACATTAAATTAAATAAATTTTAACTTTAAGCAATTTTATGACTGTGCAATGTGCATGTTGACAAGTAGAAAACAATGCAGTGAATAATCAGTTCCTATATTTTGTTTTTTTATTACATTAGTTAAAACACAAATTACTCGTATGTTTACAAATGAATATTTTTTCTATAAAAATAGATACCTAGTGATTATTAAAATAACAAGTTAGTTCTGAAAATAAATATTCAGTAGTATATAGTATATTAACATACCTATTATTTCATCAAAGACTAAAACAATATGTAATACCTATGTATCTACCTACCTATCGATAATCTATTATATACCTAAGTAACATAAAATACCAAAATCATCCTTAAATTTACTACTTCAATGTAAGTACCTATCTATCTATATACATTAAGCTTTAAAATAAAAATATAATTAAAACCTAATTTGTATTTCATATTATCTATATTTCTGTTATTACAGGTATACCTAACACAAATTTAATTTTTTATTCAATATTTAACCTTATTATATTTAAAATATATACCTAATTAAGCATTAAAACCTAGATGTTCTAAAACACAACAAGGTTGAATGGGTCAAGTCATATATTATTTATATGCAAATACTATTGGTTTTAAATAGATATGTTTAAATGCATAAGATAAATACAAAACAATTTAAATATTACCTATTTTAATGATACATTTTTTATAGAATTATGCTTAAAATATGTATCTGATACAAATATAGGTGTGTACATTACTCTGCAAATCAAATTTTCAAAAAAAATTTTTAGTAAAAGAGATAATATCTACCATATGATAGTAATAAATAAATAAATAAATATGATAATAAATTAAACGTTTTAGGTACCTACTTATAATAAATTGAGATATTTTTTTATTAATGTCAGAAATTAAAATGTCTAGACTCTAATAGGTATATGAAAGTTATAATAAAATTGTTGATATTTTTCTCAATTTATTTATTTAATTATATTCTTTTTATTAGAATAGCAGTATACCATATTTAACAAACTTTATAATATTTTTCTAAATATCTTAGTACCTATTCATTTACTAACAAGCAACAGACATAATTTATATTATCAATTAAGATAATGTAAGTATAATGGATTTATTTAATACCAATGTTGTCTGTTTTCTTTTTTCTACAAAACATTTTAATGGTAACGAACGCTGAAAGTAACAGTTATCACATAATTAAATTAAAATTTCATCAGTTAATACAGTTACTATTCTAGTTTAAACACATTTTATTTGAAAATTGAATTAATAACATTATTTATGTTACACTACCTATTATTACCTATACTTATATCAGAGACAACTTTACTTATTCTATAGATACATACATCCTCTTAATCAAATATCAAACACATAAATAGAGTGATGTGTATTTATTTTTTTTTTTGTGTTTACCTACATTCTACTCAACAAAAGAACATGTTAATTTTGTGCATCTCTATGTGACATTCCATCATCCTGATTTGTTCCAACATGGCAAGATGTGTCGTGGAAATGTGTATAAGATAGTGTTTCTCAACTGATATTCTGCGGCACACTATCGTGTGCCACAAATTAACTGTAGGTGTGCCGCGATAGTGGTACATGTTTATAGTGTTACTAGGTATTAATTTTTAATTATATAATATATTAATAATAAAAAATAATAATTAAAATAAAAATGTCTTTTTTTTATTTTTTTCTTATTATTTTATTATCATAGCGTTCTATCAAACTGTATAACTAGAGATCAGAATTATATGCACTTAAAATGTGGCAAATATGCAAAGCAAAAGAGTCAAAATATGCATTAATATGCACAAATAATTAAAAAATTAGCTCAAATATACATTATAAATTTATATTATTTTAAACAACTACAAATATTAGAACAAATAAAACAAATAAATATAACAAAATTTAGAGTGTTGTATCTTTCAATATTTAAGTATATCAACAAAATATTTAAATAAAAAAAACATAATTTTGTTTTTAAAACAGTTTAAACAAATAAAATATAATCAAATTTGTGGTGTTGCTAATAAATGAATGCTACATTTTTACACAACTTTAAGAAGTAATTTTAAAAGTAATTTAATTTGTCAAATAATAGTTTATTAACACGGTAACGAACTAGAGAAGATAAAATTCTATACTGTGTTGACGGTTATTTTTTTTTCTAGTAGGTATAGCAGTATTTAAAAATTACAATTTCTAAAATTAAAACATGAAATAAGTTGATTATTTACAAAGATTGTAAAAAATATGTACATTAATACATTATATACCCCAACTCTCCAAGTATGCCATTATATGCAAAATTAAATTTGGTTTATAGAATCAGTTAGGTCTGAATCACCCACATTTCAAACCTTTGAATAAGTGCATACACTCAGTATGAACATACAAATGCATAAAATTCTGGTCTTTAATTATAACTTATAAGAAATGTGTCATGAGCATAAAAAGGTTGAGAACCACTATACTATAGGAACTAATTTTTGTTATGCTGCACCATGTTCTTTCGCTGGACAGAGAATATATAAATATTAAATAATGTATGCATATCATATATAATTTATTCAAAAATAGGTATTAGTAAATACTAAACTTATGTATAGAATAAAGATAATTAAAAAAACAATTATTTACTTTTGTTTTTTTAAGTTTGTTTTTTAAGTACAGTTATTGAGTTTTGTCGGTGTATTAATTCAATTTTCTAAATGATCAGAACTCAGGAAGACCAAAGAGTGCCACATATTATGTTTCAAACAATATTTTGAATTAAAAAATTGAATAAAATATTTAATTATTTAAATCAACAGTCTTTAGTTCTTTACCAAGAATAATAAAAAAAATTATAATAATAATAACAAA